GAAAGTAAAAAATTGGTAATTTAGTACAGTCAATCTCCAGCACCTAAGTCATTTCACTAATTAAACAAATAGAAACATGTTTCTTAGAGTTCTAAATAACTTAAAGACATTCAAAAGAGGTCTCAGTAAGTTTCACTTGCATTCCTTCGATACATTGGGCTCATTTGTAAAGTAAAAGACGTTTCCAAGTTCGAACCTGTTGATAAGATGCCTTGAGCCCTTTTCCATATGCGTACAGAAAAATTGGTTTTTGATGGTTTTTGTTGCAGTGAAATTTCATTTTGTAGCATGGATGGAGGATGTAACATGAATCAATTATATAATACGTAGAGTAAAAGAAAAAAAGGAAAATAATAAATTCTAGTGGTTCTGCAGCAGCACATTATTCAAAGAGTTTAACAAGGATTAGACGTGCGCCAATTTTAAGCGTTGTCGTCGCTATCCACTCCCAAAAATTAAAATATCCGTTTTAAACTTGCAGGGCCTCGAGTTAGTTCATATCGATCGAGGAAAATCAATTTTTCAGAAAATCTTCTCAACGGGTTAAGCACTAGCACTGATCAGTGATTGACAGACGGACAAACGGACGTTTTGCCGTGAATGTTCGGTATCAAAAGCCCACACTCATGGATTCTGACTATATAAGTGTAAGATGAAGTCATTTACTATACAAAGGTACAAACTTTATCCACTTTTTCGTTACCAGGATAGCAATATGTTTTTTTCTGCCAAAAAAATCAGAAGAAGACACTTATTCTGTTACGTGTGCAAGTTTTTAGTACTTATTTCATGACGTATTGGAATTATAAATTATCCTTTTCGTGTGCGGGATAATTCTACAGAAATTTCACAGCGAAACAACATTTTTAAAACGCGAAATAGTTGGAATCGTTAAATTATGAAATAATGCAATTACTGTTTTCGTTGTTTTCAGAAAGAAATCGTTTGTTATACTTCTCTTGTTAAATTTGCTTTTTTACAGTACAATTCGTAACGTACGTTAAATAAATATCTTTTAATCGCACATGTTTATGTTAAGTTCTCAAATTGTGAACCCATCAATATTTAATGAATTACAAGCAACAATAGTAAGATATTTTTGCATCTCGTCTTTTGCAGTAATATTCTCAACATATTAACAAGAAAAATATGCCAACTTGATGGTCTTATTAATGGTCGCAAATAAAATTTAGAATTAGTACTTCATTACATTTCATAGAAGAATTTCGATTCCAATGACATTTAAATTTACTGCACCATTCAAAGTTGCAAAATACATTATCGTTAATAGCACGACAAAATATCACAAATGTCGAGAAATACAATTTAATTTTCCGCCTAGATTCAAAAGTCGCAACGCGCAAGTTACGACAACTATCACGAGTGAGGTAGAACGAAAGTGGCCTTTGTAGGTAGTTGTTCCGTTAGCAACCAGTCGTAAATTCATATTTTGGACTATTAAATTACGCAATCGTTTTCTGTGCCTTCAACATTATGAGGTGAAAAAATGTTTGTCATGTTTGTTAGGCCTACGGCACAAAGAGAAAAATTATGTGCGCGATGAATGGGTATTTTATTTTTGTCTTTTGCAAACTCACGTTTTTTTCTTTTCTCCAAAGAATCGTAATTTCCACTTCATTGTTTGTATGCAGTGTTCGGCGTCAGCCTATCGTGAAATTTTATTGCTCCATAATTTCAAGTTTTTAGAATCACAAGACACAATTTCTTGACCAGAGAATGAGTCGATCAATACAAATTCTAGATTTAAATCTCGAGACTTAGAAACTCATAAGACAACATTTACGCTGATCAACATTTAAGTAAATAAGTTTGCAGAAAGCAGTGATTTGACTTTTTATGAATGCCGTTTTATTATATTTCTTTTGACACGTGCATATATGTTGTGTAGTATGTGTGTGAATTGTTATATCTACAACAAAGCAAACTTTTCCGAGATGACTTATGAGGCGTCCTGTCTCATAATTAGGTGGAAAAGCCGTGGTCATTGTGGATATCACCATATCATACCGAGGCAAAAAGTGAAGCTCATAAATAGTAATGTATTATGTTAGGATATGAACGTATACACAAATGTTTGATCAACGTCTGTTATACAAAAATGTAATTTGGTTCGACTTGCTAAACGAGAAAAATGACCTATTATAATAACAAAAGTAAAATGAACTCATAAGATTCCTTCTGGAAAGCAAAAACCATGTATATATGAAAAAGTAAGGTTTATGTGAATGGAACAATTTTCACAATGATAACTTAAGATTTAGAATGATACAACATACTTGTTTTAGTGTCAATCTCAATACTTGCGATTCTGAACGTTAAAAGAAATGTCAAAGTTTACCAATCAGAAGAAGAATATCGTGAGGAAATTTCAAAACCTCATGAATTTAAACCAGTTTGATGCATTTTACTTATCTTTAACGTATTTTGTTTTTCGTGTTTTGTTTTTCGTTTTTCGTGTTAACGTGTTTTGATTTTTGTCCTTTTTAAAAATTGTTCCCATCCTTCTCGCATAGAAATTAATAAAAACAACGGACAAGTAATGCATTGGTTACTTACAGTACGCGTAACAAACACTTTTGTGTAATGGAAGTACATGAGTCAAAAAATACATTATTAGTAATTACATCAATATTTATTTCATTATTATTTTATTATCATTGTAAAGCAAACCTTCCGCCAGCAGCATTATATTGGACAAAGATGTACAATATCCGGTCATTCTTGTTAGTGTATCAGCGAGTGTGGATTAATGATAATGAGTCTAAAGAGCTTATGGTCACTACTGGATGACAGCCATCCAATAATTTTAAACCAAAAGTTTATATGAGTTCAATATGTACGAAAATAATATTTAATTTTAAAGTGGAAGTGTTGTAGTTTATTTTTAATATTTCCTTTCATTAGGTATGTTCATTATTTCAATACTCTTAGGAAACTGAATAGTTGTCATCTTTATGACCTCTTAATATATTAATTCGGCCTTGCGTATCATAGAAAGGGATGTTGTATTTTTAGAAATTAGCAAAGTGGCAGACTGGGAAAGCTGTATACTACAACGAGGCCACATTCTCCAAATGTGGTAGGAAGAACTTTCTACAAGTTCGTTTACCATCAGATGCCTAATGCGCGGACCGCGACAACGTGCGGGATTTCCAAGAATGAAAGAGGCATTCGTATCTGCGCAGAATTCGCATTAACTTCATTCCGTAAGAGCTCAGCATTCACTGGCCATTCTTCCTGGTTCAACACCTCAGATAATCCTTTCTAAACAGTTTATATATCTAATGCCAATTTGTGATCATTATCGTGAAAATACCGTACAATGTTTTCAAATTTCTTTACGATAATTCCTTGTCGCTATTTACCAGTGGTCCAGTTAAAAGGGCGGGAAAATGCAGGTTCTTTCACTTTTTTATTCATTTTGCCTAATAAAGGCAAAAGTATAAATATGTCCTCGTTTCCTAGAAACTAAATCACAACAGCCTTGAAAAAGTGGTTGGCAATATTCCATTTAGTCCAGTCACGGAAGTATTTTTCTCCTCGGGTCTATGTTTTCTCATTTTGACCAGGAGTCCAAGAAAAGTTACCGTTTTGAGCGCGCTGAAGTGCCTAAATAGTTTTTCAGAATATTAAAATAAATAGATCCTTTTTGTAGGAAATTTTGTCAATTTTATTTTTTCAACAGTAACTGTTTCGATAAAACGCATAATTTTGAAGATATAACCTGAAAAATGTGCGATATTTGTAAGGTTTTAGCAATTTCTTTGTGAAGCCGAGCTTTTTCTTTCTTTCTTTCTTCGTTATTGTCCTTTAAACGTCACTTCACCTTTTTGTTACAGCCGATGCTCCCTTTCCTCGGTTAGTTCTGCTGCATTTTCGTTCTAGAGGCTTTTGAGTCTAGCCTCCACTCCGGAATGAAGGCTAATGCAGCTGCGAACTGCCCCGGTCGTGAAAAGTTCGCAAGTTCGTAGCGAGTCATGAATACTATTACAAATAGGGAGGTACAGTGGTCCAGGTGGCGATTACATAGCAGCCCTTTATTGAATTGAATTGAATTGAATTGGCCTTATTTTACGTGGCGAGACTCGGGCCATCAGGCCCGTTCTTCCGTCTGACCACGCAAATTCCGCTACGCTCCTTTCACCAACTAGGAGAGAAAGGAGGTATTTCTTGGGCGAGAAACAGGCGATTTGAATTTAGCTCAGAGGCGTCATTTAGGCTAGAGGATCTTTTACATGCAAGTAAATCTACGAACATGGGACAGCCGGCTTTACTTCCCCTCCGAAGTAACGGCGTAACGGCGTACGAAGGATTTTTTCGCCCTTAAAAATCCACGGCTTCGATCGGGTTTGAACCCGCTAACTTGGGTACAACAGTCCAGTACGCTAACCGTTACACCATCGCCGCCGCTTTATCGAGTTCTCCTTAGCACAGAGAGCACACAAATGGCCAAATAGAGGACTGGGAAGGCATTGGGTATTGCAGGTGCTAAACGACCTCTTAAAAGGTCGAAACTGCTTGTTTGTACACTTTTTATGTCTTTGTATATTATTGTCGTGGTTATTATTTTATTATTATTGTTATTTTATGATTATTTTTATTATTATTATTATTATTATTATTATTATTATTATTATTATTATTTTATTATAATTATTAACGTATACCTGTTATGTATTATCATTGCGAGAATGAGTAAAGTATTTCATATACTTCTATGATACTCATTCTTCCTTAAAAACCTAGTACATAGATATGTCTATTACATATTAACGTTCCTTGAGAGTCAAAGTGTTTCGCCGATTTCTGGATGTTAACAAACGTTTCCATTCGTCATGCTCTTCCCGTTCTGCACCTACTATTCCAATATATCTCTCTTCTCTAGAAGTAAGTAGCTTACATCGACCAAAGGTGAGAGTAGCCTTTCGTTAAAAAATAGAACCAAACCCACTGAAAATTTAATTTCTATAATTCCATAGGAACGGACCCGTGTACCTTGTACTTCGGCGTCAAGTTCTACGCCGCGGACCCCTGCAAGCTCCTGGAGGAGATAACGAGGTACCAGTTCTTCCTGCAGGTGAAGCAGGACATTCTTCAGGGGCGGCTGCCGGTGACGTTCGACCTGGCGGCGGAGCTGGGCTCCTACGTGGTGCAGTGTGAGTAGCATCAAGGCACTCGCAGGCTTTCCTCGTGATGCAAAGCGTAACGACCCTTATCTCCATATATAGCTACACTAAAGACTTCCCCTGAAATGTCTCTAATTAAGTATTACATTTTAGACTTTTTATAGAGAATTGTATTAGCGAGCCATAGAGGACGTTATTATTGTATCTATGTGCCGTTGCATTACATAACAATATGCATTGCTAACAGTTCATTCAGCACGTATACAATTAGCCAATTCATGGTGTTCTCTCGACTCTCTCTCATTCCAGTGTACGTATAATGTCTTTAATTTGCTTCAGATGATATTGGAATGGTAACTTCTACTTTAAAGTTAATAGTATAAAAGAGATATATTTCTCAATATTTGAACGGCTTTTAAAACATACCCACAACATCTGTTAGATCACAGACTTTTTAATATTAAATTTCAGCATATAATTTTCAATATATTCAGTGTAATATTTAATAACAGGATGCCTGTAAATGATGTAATAAACCCTAAATACTACTGAATTCGCTGCTGAAAATAGGAGTTAATGAGACCACCGAATAAACTGACCGGTTTTCTGCTTTATTGCATCAAGGTCAGAAATGTCATTCTGCTTTATATCACGAGTTTATTTGAATTATATAACACACTTAATCACATGTCAATAAAAGATCGTGAAGACGCTTTTGAAAGGTTATATTGGTCTGGTATTTATAATACCAACCAAGTGAAGGTGTTCACATCGCACTCTTTTATGTCTCTAATCGAAATATTTTACAAGTAATTAATGAAGAAGAAATAATGGGCCTGCAGGTTCATTTAAATATTTTAGGCAGATGACATATATTATTGTAGCGTATATAACAGATTACACCTAATGTGAGACAGCATTATTTTTTTGTTTTCTATTCGTTTCCACTTCGAAAATTAAAAAAAAAATTAGTCGAGGACTTTTTCTTCAAAAATCGAACGTTATCAGAGAATAATCACATAACATAAGATCTGCAAACAATCTCATTGCAAATAGAAATAAGTGAAAGATTGCTTCGAAGGCTTCAAAATTGAACTATAGAATGCAAATCATGAACTTTAAATGTAAATTATATTATATATAAATGGACAGTATATACACTGACTCTAGTGCACGCAATCTGCCCTTTTTAAAATTTATTGCTACTTTCTCGGAATTGCTGCCTTTTCAAAGTCACTTCCTTTAGAAATAGTAATCTTCATGGCTAAATCAATCCACTTTCATTTGATGATGTTCATTCCAAGAGATACTAAGTTTAAAATTTGATTCAAGGTGCTGTATGGTTGTAATAGTTGTAGTATTTGTCTATTTGAGTTTTAGAGGGGTTTGAAAACATCTTTCGGGTATCGTGAAAATATTCTGCAAGAGTGTTTGTATGTCTGACCAAGTTGGTACGTTTTGATGGCAGATAAGTTGGTTAGTGTTTCGTAGACCGTTTTGGATGATTTTAATATGTAGTCGTGGACGAGTTCTTTTTTTAGCTTTATGTGTAATTATATGTTACCAATGAATCACAAACATTTATTTTGAATTATTTGTAACTTATTAACATGGCAGTGTAATGTTTTTCCCCATCCGGGGCAAGTGCAAGTTAGTGATGGACGCTATGTGTCTCTTAAACAAGGCACAATGCGACGAACAAGTTTCAGCTAGCCGGTCCGGTGGCCGAGATCGCTAAGGCAGTAGTAAGGATCGCGGGTTCGAGTCCCGCGGTTCGAGTCCCGCCTCGGGCATGGTTCTATTGTGTTTCGTTCTTTCACCCCCTATCATTATCGTGTCAACCCACAGTTACCATACCGTTACAAGCAATAGTGGTCGCTAATGACCTAGTAGTTGATGCGACCTTAAATAACAAAAAAAAAATCAGCTTGTGCAGAACTTACCCTTAAAATTATTGCTTAAATGAATGACTCTGCATTATTGAGAAACGAATGTTAGGATAATGCAAGAAATGCAGCTCGCTAGAAGACTGCGTTTTTAAATTATTAGAAAACTACTACTAGTGCCCGGATCTCACAGGTTCATCACGTTTATTATTTTTATTATTATTATTATTATTATTATTATTATTATTATTATTATTATTATTATTATTATTATTATGTGTAAACACTGTATTTAGGTTAGTTACATAATTATTTTGTGTTATTTTTGGTATACGTACTGATATAATGTATTTTTTTCTCAATTTTGTTACTTTGTGTATATACATAAAAATATTTGAAATGTTAACCATTGTTTTAATCGTGTGCAAATAGGACTTTTATGTTTTTAACTTTACATTGAATTATTTATGGTAAAATATTTCATAAGAATAGATTTTTATGTAATTATTTTAGGTAAAAATATAGTAAGTTAACATTATGAGAGAATTTAAAGAAAATACTGTACAATTCTGTAATAATGGGCACCTGATAAGTCTGGTTAAGTCAGTTTGACTTATCAGGACCCACAACAAATTTGATGTAAAATAAACTATTTTATTGTATTCTAAACTATTCTAATATTATTATTATTATTATTATTATTATTATTATTATTATTATTATTATTATATTATTATTATATTATTGTTATATTAGTAGTAGTAGTAGTAGTAGTAGTAGTAGTAGTATATTACTATTAGTATTAGTATTAGTATTGTAGCTGATGGATGGATGATTAGGATCTACAAATGATAAGAAGCAATGTTAGAATGAAACGCAGGGCGTGCATCGCCCAGATACATTTCACGGCCTGGTGGGATAAAGCAGTCGCAACGTCGCCCTCTGTTGGAGCGCGCGTCAAACCGAAGCCTGCTTCGTGCGTGCCCGTGCGCCCCACCTGGCCAGACCCCGGTCGGCGGAAGCGTTTATTGCGGATGTCGGGTGGAACGCTGGAGCATCGAACTGTGGCGCCCCGCCGCCGGGGGAGGGGGAGAGGCAGACGACGGCGGAGCGACAAAACAGAGAAAGCGAACTAATCCACATAAAACGCTTTATGGTCGTAATGAGCTTGTAAATTGACACGACTTACAAACCGTGTTTTCCTGGACCGAATCATTCTCGCCGCGGCGACGCGCATCTCGGAAAATCCCCGGCGGTGCTCCGTCGACGCTTCTCGGACTTCGTGCTCGTCCGACCGCCGTTCAGCGGAACAGAGACTGCGTTGAAATATCGTAGGAGGGTGACTCAACGCGTCACACTCCAATTCTCATTTAGGAAATCCCCCCCCCCCAAATACGTTACGTACTAGTGTACTCTCACCATTTGACAATTTCAATCGGTAATCATCGCAGAAATATTGAAAATTTTCGTTACGAAAACGGAGAAAAAGAGGATTTTCCACAAAAAGTTTGTGGAAGAAAAACGTATTGTTTTCGTTTGCTCTTCCCAAAGCCATCAAATTGAACATTCTTACTTTACCAGAGTTCTTGAGGGAACTCAAGCTGATGAATATCTCAAACCTTCAATACCATCTCCAACATAAAAAAGTAAAAATAATAATAACAATAAATATCTCTAACATAACTATTACAATGTTGCAATGGAGGCAGAACTGTAATTTGCAATTATTCAGATAAGGCTCACATCAAATGTTGATCAAATGTCCCGTGCAATTGTCTGAATTAAATACATACCTTTGGCGTTGGAACTATTGATTTATTTACTAATTTTATTTATCTCTGAAGAGCAACTCTTGGTAAACATCACGTCCAAATGTGTTCTTCTTGCGTATGCACTTACAAACACAGTCACGGAAGGCACCTTCGTCTTTCAAAGCTGAAGGGCCAACAATGCACATAACACATCATCTCACAACGCCACACCTACGAAAAACAAAGGACCGGCGTCCAGACTCGAGGGATGCGAAGTCATGATCCTCAGAATAGATGCGGTCTATTTTCTGCACACACTAAACACTAACCATCTAATCCACTGCACCTTTCATAGGAAATTTCTGCACAAAAAAATCGCTTAAGAATTTCACGAGTGCTCCAGTCTCTTGTCTCTTGTCTCATTTATTTTGTAGCAATGCTGATGATGTGTTGTTGACGTAATTAAACGATGAAATAATTGAAGTCATATTCGTCAATTTAGTGGGTTTAATCACACAGCTTTCGCCGGCTTTGCCGTCATCATCAGTCAACAAATAATATAAATCAAATACAAAATAAGAAGATAATGCAAATCTTCTTTTTACCTACTTTTTCAATCTCCTTATTCAAATTATTTGTATTATCTTCTTATATGTATTGTATTGATATTATTTGTAGACTGATGGTGACGGCAAAGCTCATTGCTCTCTGAATAAATCTATTAATTTGATGAAGATGGCTTCAATTATTTCACCACACTCATTTATTTTTCCACCTGCATTTGTTTTGGTCTGTCGGCCGACTTTTCGCCACTCCCATTCTCCCTACTTCTCCCCACGAAAGAGCGAGAAAACGTCAACAACATTTTAAGGCGGCTCCACACATGCGGCATTCGGTGAATCCCGAGCAACCGCTCGCCGAATTCCGAGTAGTGTGGACGGGTTGCTTGCGATTCGCCGAGCGCCGAACATTCAGTATTCGCCGTACCCACTGCGTGTCGGTCTTTAGGACACATCAAAGGGAGCGAACATGCGCCGAACACATCAGCTGTTCGGGACTTGCAGTATCTAGGTCTCGACGAATGCCTAATGTGTGGAGCCGCCTTTATGTTAACTCCTTTTCGTTTTGACAAGTTAATTTTGAAATGTGATTGTACAGAAACGTTTAAAAACATTAGAGATGAAAAGTTGTTTCTGGCATTTTAAAGTGACCACAAACGGATTGAATTAAGCACTTTTACGAATTACTCAGAAAAGTCAAACAGTTGTACATTTATGAGAGTGACTAAATAATATTATTTTATTTATTTTCATTTCTTTAAATCTTTCACTCTTTCCATTCTCTTTCAGCAGCACAGCTACATCGGAATTGCAATTACCCGAGAAGTGCGTGCTGATCTGAGACGAGCGTTAATAATCGTACTTGAATTGAATTGCATTGAATATTGTATTGCAGAGATCCTATGTTGGGATCGGTATGGATCGGTGTCGGTATGTTGGGTGAAAGATTTCGGTACATATGCGATTGCATATTCTCTCAGTAAATATTTGTGTTTCGAGAAATTCGGGAAAGTATTTGCGATTCGGAGCAACAAACTATTAAATCTTCAAACTTACTTTTTTACGCAGTTTTAGGCAAAATATTTTAAAATAGGCAACAACTGCCTGCTAGAACATTTTAGGCACTATTAGATACTTTCAGTAGATTTATTTTTTCATGATCCGTAACCATCTGCAATTATTTTTCACAATCTTTTAAAGAAACTAAATAGACATTTGTCCATAAATGCGAAGTCTAGTTATAACTGCGAGGAGCTGCACGTTCCTATATCCACTCATGGTGAGTCACGACTACTCATCAGGTTTGCAGGAAAATGCCTGTTTTACTGTTTTCAAGCAGACACTCGAAAATAATTTTATACAGTTTCCAAAACAACGATATTACAGGATCTTCATTTAAAAGTCCTAAAAATACTATTTCTGAATTAGAATCTAAAAACTGCGTATTCTTCCCATTATGTAATGTTTAGATTTTATATTATCTTGGCTATTTTCATTTGTTTTGTGTGTTTCAAGATAGATTTGTAGTTGAGTCATCTCCAAAGGAGACAGTTCTGATATTTATGAGCTCGGAACATCATTGCAACCATTCCCAACGCTTCTTATGGCTAATTACAATCCTGCTTACTCGGCTAGGTTTACTTCCTAGAAAGCCCCTTCCGGGGCTTTAGGTACATCGTAGTAGATAGCAATAGCAACCTTGTGCGCATGCGCAACTCGAACTGACATTCTACCAATTTACATCAACCTGTTCGCTCAGTCTACGAATTATTTTTATTGTGAGTGGACCGTTTAAGTTCTAGGTTGCCGCGTTTTTCGATATCGGATAAGCTATTTCGATTGTTTTCCAATTTACGTGGGAGGCCATTTTGTCAAACATTCTCGAAACCTTTAATCAAGCATTTATTTCATTAACCTTCATTAATAGTTGCCTTAAGACTGAATTATATCTCTCTGGTAGGTTTACGATGGTCTGTACAATGTACTTCTCGTTGCAAACTCTTTAAATAATAGTGCCTACTACAGTGCCAGTAAAACAGCTTGAAGAAAAATAAAATGTATTCTAAAGAGTCAGCAAATATATGGAATCGTATTATTGAAATACTTAAATTTAAAAAAAAGAAAACAGTTCTTGTAACGTTCTTTGTAAATATATTTCTATGGTTCTTTATAAATGCTAAACATACTATATTTAGGCGCGGAACCACGAAGAGGGAAATGAGGGAAATATCCCCTCCTAAACTTTTTCTCTAACAATTAATTTTATCTTGTCACGAAACTTTCAAGCACAAATATTTTCGGATAATCATTACTACTAAAAAAGTCGAATTGCAGCATGAGCTAAGTGAAGCGTACCGCATTTTACAAAATCTTCAATGACAGATTCCACCAAAACATTTTCAATTTCCCCTCCCAAAATTTGTCTCCGAATCCGCACCTGCAATACTTTATAATGTAATATTTTAATATTTTTATGTACATGTATAATTATATAATATTTATTATATTATTTTGTTTATATATATATATGTATATATTTGTGCACTATTCTGTAAATATCTCCTGAAAATGTTCTAGATTTTTCCCAGTTTTATTTTACCCATTATTTGGCATTCACATCAACATTAACATCCTCATCCTCATCAACAACAACAAGAGCACATTCACATTGACACGACCAATGTTGCATCAAGGAAGTCTCGATGTCAGGTCTGATTGAAGGTGTTCTGTTCCAGCGGAACTTGGCGACTACGACCCGCGGAGGCACTCTCCGGGCTACGTGTCGGAGTTTCGTTTCCTCTCCAACCAGACGGTGGAGCTAGAATCCAGAATAGCAGAACTTCACAAAGGACTTGTGTAAGTGTTCGGGGTTGTGATTAATTGGAGCGCAAAGCAGTTGCCAGTGTTGACAGAAACCCGAAATTCAGGACTGTCCTTTGCTTTTTCGGGAATACAAATGAACTTCCCAAGTTGATTGAGCGCAGTGTGTCTCAAATCTAGTGGGGCTACAGTAGCCGATACTTTCTCGCATTAAATCTAAATTTGCAATTTTCAAACATTCAGAGAGCTCAACGAAAATGAGACCCGCTAATTCTTTGAAGTGTTCCTTTTTCGATCCGTGGAAATATCTGGAGAAAAAATTTGTAGCGGTTTTTGAGAAAAGTATTCTTATAAATTGCACTAATGTCAAGCACAATACGAAGAGAAAATTAAAAGAAACATGTGTCTTTTTAGAGAAAAATTGTAAAAAAATGTATATCTTCAATATTACAGTTATAAGAATACGCCCCAAAAAATTCTACATTTAAAATTTTCGAAAAATCGGAGATTTTAACGAACACGAGACCTGCACCATTGTCTTAAGCGTCTTTTACGCTATCCGAGGATAAAGTTTAATCAAAACATTTTGTTCCATTTTTTAGAAAATTTTGAGAATTTTCTTATGTCTTCATGTCAAGTACCCCTGAAAATCAAAATATCCTGTCGAAACTCCCAAAGCCTCGAATTCGTTCAAATCAAGCGTGGGGTATATCAATTTTGGAGAAAATCGGCTAAACGATTTAGAGTCTGGCGTAGACAGACGTCCGGACGGACAGACGAACTGACTTTTTGCCGTCAATCGATTTTTCGTTATCATGGATCCACAAAACATGGATTCTGGCTGCACCACGTGTTAGAGGAAGTAATTTACTATATATAATATAGAAACAGGATTTATTCATTTTCATTACCAAGCCCAGGCAAGAAGAGTTTCTCTGACGAAAATTCGCTATTTTCTGGTTACATAACTTCACTCGCACTAAGAAAGTGCGAGAAAGTAAAAATGACAGCGCAAGCCTGCAATGTAATTCCAAAATTATTTAAAACGTTTTGTTTTAGTACCCCTGACGGTAACGGCGAAACAGTAAAGGAATTATGTATTGGTAATCTTGAAGAGGTACCATTAAGTAAATGTATTTGTTTTTATTATCACGGCAGAAATTACTTAACTTGATGTTCATTAATAAACAAGTTCGTGTGTTTATTGGAGAAATAACCCCTAATATGCGGTTAATCTCAGAAAAAACACACATGTATTTAGCATCAATATTCTGTTTTGGAAGAGTATGATTTCTTTCTATTTATGTACTGCAATAAAAAACATATCTGGATGTTCATGAAATCGTTCCCATATTTTTCTTCAGAGGCCAGCTGCCGGCGATGGCTGAGCTGAGTTATCTGGACAAAGTGAAGTGGCTGGAAATGTACGGTGTGGATCTTCATCCAGTGTTGGTAAGTACATCAACGAAGATAGTTCCACAAAGTTAGTAGTTCATTAAGCGTACCCTATTTGCAGAACATCTGTTTCAAAACGTTATATATTAATACGTGACATATTAAAATACGTTCTAGTAAAATACATTTCTTATCATAGAACCCTAACTCTTTTCTGTAAGTTCTAATACCAAGCACAATTGAGATACTACAAAAGCACATACACGTTCTCGTTTTATTTGTAACCGTTACTTAATACTATAATATTGCAAATGATACCCGCGGAATGCTTCAGAATAGAATCTTTTGGAAAAATCTTCATCAAATGAAACGCAGGAGATTCGAAAATTACATATCTTTAAGTTTTGAAAATTCACAGTTATAATGATAAAGGCTCTTCCGGTTATCAATTCCATCTTGTGCTCTATCCGTAAAATAATTTTAAAGACAAGTACTTTTCTTCCAACGGCTTGAATCCGGACCTCTGTAGTACCGTAGCACGACGTCAGACACATATCCCAGATGCTAGAGCGAATGACCTTATTATCTTCGAAGAAGGAATGAAATATTTACACTTGAAAACTTGAGATTTTGAGAAGCTGGCACGCACAATACTCATGGACAACAACCATAAAAGCAATAAATTAAAAATTTTAACAAAAGCAGTGTTTACGAAAACTACAAATATATTGTGTAGTATGTAATGATACATAGTACATCGGTTCTTAAAAGATAGACCAGAACCTCCAGAAATATAAAAAACGTTGTTGTCCCATTACACAACAGATGAGTAGCAAATACTTAATGGCCTCATCCTTGGAGCCTTGCTGTCGCACGACATCAACTCTGTCGTGCAACGGACTAAGATTGAGAATTCAGTCGGAACGGCAGCTGGATTGGTGTGAATGATGCAATCAAATGTTAGTATTTTTCAGTCAAAATCATAACTGTTTCATCGTTTTGGATTTTTCCTGTTCTTGGGTATCTAACGAAATCCCAGACACCTCCCGCATGACCGGAAGAAGCAAAGTTTTCATTCAATTCTGCACTCAAATATTTAATTTTTGAAAATTCAAAAATTTTAATCAGAATGGCACTTGTACTGAATAACTCACAATATTGTTTTATCCGTACAATATTATTGTTGTATCCGTGAAAAAAATATTTTAAAAAATCAATATTGCCCGAAAATAACACACTTTGAAAAATTGTAGTGTGTAATTTGAAGATGTAATTTTGAGGAATACACCAAAACAATAAATAAAATCTCTAAGTTAAGTAAACTAGTTGTACGAGAGTCGAAAAAATGTAACTTTGCCATATTCGAGATTTCAAAAGTTTTAAGTAAAATCAAACATTCCATATTCAAAGTGCACATTGGTCTGTTTCTGCAAAAAGTTATCAACTTAATTTAAATTTACTTATTTAACGTAAAAAAAGAAACAGTTTAAAACTGTGTGACGTACTTTGAGATGAAGTGCAACATTGTTCAGAATCTATTGGAAATATTCTAGGGGCTTCCTGTAAATTACCCCCCAAAGAACGTCCGTTTCAAATTCGCAGGGCCAGGAGTTCAGCCAGATGGAACGGAGAAAATCCATGTCGAGAAAACTCTATAAATATTTCAGGCGCTAGAATTGATCACGGCCAGAGAACGGAGAGAAGAACGAACGAAACGGAAACAAAAAGGGCGGAGAGCCGAATGGACCAACGTGACAGACAGGTGAAGAGCCGACCGAACGTGCGGAAAGGCGAACGGATGAACGAACGAGTGGTTAGATGGGCGGAGAGGGGGGCGTATACGTGGGGGAAGAGACTCACTGACAAATGCACGGAGAGATGGGCAAAGAGTAGGGAAATTTTAAAAAATCTTAATCAGGGACTCCATGTTTACGCTAAAATCTCCATCTCAATGTTTTTTCGCAACAAGGTGGCAATTCTTTACAACATCTATACTTCTCTACTCCGTACAGATGGCTACAGATGGCGTATCAGAAATAGTAAAAGGGATTAATGAACCTAATGTGACGTAATATAATTTTCGTATTAAATCATACTGCAAAATTTCAGTTAAAGGAATGTCTTATTAATCACTCTTATTCATTTATCGAGCAGCCTTTTTACGAACTCTCTTTGCCAGTTTTTGCACTGAGAGAGGGCATATTAAAATTCAATTATCAAATCAAATGAAATTGATATTTATAACTCAATGGTATTTCTTTTTAGGGAGAAGATAACGTCGAATATTTTCTGGGGTTAACACCAAGCGGTATTATCGTCCTACGAAATAAAAATAAAGTAGGAAATTATTACTGGTGAGTAAAAAATAACACTAACTAATTTATTAGTATCCATAATTTTAATTAAATTAATCCTCGTCTTGAAAAGTACATACTTTTACAATACATATTATTTCCTTTTCGTTAACATTGTTTAATACACAAAAAATATAAATTTCCAGAGATTAATGAAATAGCCTGGGAATTGAAATCTATATCCCGCATAGATTTTAAAACTAAATTACTTCTTTTATTGTAAAACCAATAGTGATATCAATATGTACTAAACTGTTTGGGTATGTATTATTGTAGATATCACTCCCATCAAATGGCAGGTTTTCTGAAGAAGTAGTTCATGGGTAATTTCCTATTGATTGCATCAGCAAAAAACAGTTTTATATTATGCACATTTGTTGTGTGCGTTGTTAGACCTTACAATAACAATAAAAGAGCAAATTGCATTTCTACGCATATGAAATAATACCTTATAAAAAACGTATACACTTATAAAAACCTCAAATGAATGGTGTGCTTCAGAAAGATGTAATTTTGAGGAATACACCAAAACAATAAATAAAATCTCTAAGTTAAGTAAACTAGTTGTACGAGAGTCGAAAAAATGTAACTTTGCCATATTCGAGATTTCAAAAGTTTTAAGTAAAATCAAACATTCCATATTCAAAGTGCACATTGGTCTGTTTCTGCAAAAAGTTATCAACTTAATTTAAATTTACTTATTTAACGTAAAAAAAGAAACAGTTTAAAACTGTGTGACGTACTTTGAGATGAAGTGCAACATTGTTCAGAATCTATTGGAAATATTCTAGGGGCTTCAGAAAGACTTGGCAGAAAAAATAGTTTTCATGTAAACAATTTTCTTCTATTTCAGGCCGAGAATCACGAAAATATATTTTAAAGGCCGATACTTTATGCTTCGAGTTTGCGATAAGAACGTAAGTTAAATAACATTTACCCTAGCTTTATTTTTCCGTACTTTTTACCAATATTTATTTAAATTTGTACCATTTTTTAAAATTTTTAGAATGATGAAAACACGTACGGTTTCGAGACTCCATCCAAACCTGCGTGCAAACATTTATGGAAATGCTGTGTCGAACATCACGCGTTCTTTCGCCTTGTCCAAGTTTCGCCAACAACACCGGATATTTTTGCGTTGGGGTCACGTTTTAGATATAGGTAAGTAGTATAGCAAGACGTGTACAAGAATTGTAATCAAGAAAATCGATGTTATGAACTACTAATTATCATACATAAAGTACACGGTGGGGTCACGACATAAAGCAAGTGGTGCATATACTTTTTTGTTTTATTTGTAATTTTATAACAAAATATTATGAACTAGTTGTCTGCCATTACTCTGCCATGACTCGCAAGTAATTCTGCGATGCTTCCACACCAGAAAAAAGCGCTGCTCTGGAATCGAGCGCGTAGGTTTGCGAGGCCTAAACTCTAGATCAATAGACAATCAATTCGGAGATCACTCACATCAGAATTTCACTCACGTCCTTAACAAATTCATAACTTTAATCTTTACAATTAACAGCCTTAATAAATACAGCCTTAATAAAAGTATTAATTAAGATAAAGATTTCAGTGCATTGAACTCTATCTGCGATAAAAGTTTTATATTTCAATGAGGATAGATTTCATTAATAAAATCTGCAGGTTTAGTTGCATGCGAGGATAAAAAACTGAACTCTTTGAATCTTCAACATTTCAGAAATTTTAACGAAATTCACAACTACGTAAAGATTATATTTATAAGTGCATTATTATCTATTCAAGACAAAGAAATGAAGAAAACATTTGGATCAATTTTTTAGAAAAATGTGAAATTGTCCTAGATACTTAACGTAAATTACCATCAACAATTAAGAGATACGTTTCAAATTCGCAGGGTATTGAATTGGTGCAGATCGATCTAATAATAATCATTTTTGAGAACATTTGTACGGATTAGGTGCGAGAGTTGTTCTCAAATGAACAGACAGAAAGAGAGAGAGGCAGAAGCACTGAGATAGAGAGAAGGAGTCAGGAAAAGACTAGGATACAGGGAAAGATAGAGGCCCAGAGAAAGACGGAGCCTCGGAGGAAGAGACGGAGACATGGTAATAGAGACGGAAACACAGAGAAATACCGAGAAATACAGATGCAGAGAGAGAGAGAGAGAGAGAGAGAGAGAGAGAGAGAGAGAGAGAGAGAGAGAAAGACGGAGGCACAGAGAGACGGAGGATAAAATATTTAAATCTGAAAGATGTACTCACGGAGAATTCAAAAAGAACTTGCCCCACAAATTATTGTTCTTATACGATGTCGATATAAACGTTTAACAATTTTCTCAGAGAAAATTATGTTTTAAGTTCCACCCTTGTTATGACGCAAATTCTTGCAACCTGGACCCTGGAGCCGGTCGTACTTTGGTGACACGCTCTTTGGTAATTTAATTTAGCGATAGAGTCTCTCTCCAACTGGTACATCATTACATAAGTCGAATTGCATGTCATATTCAATTTTTAGATATTCCATAATTAACATCAAGGCATTTTGCCACACCAAGAGCGACGTTTGTTATGACACAAATGTAGTGTTTCACGAGTCAAATATTATATAATGCAAAATCATGTTTTCACTTTGCCAATAAATGTACAAGGGTGTATGGAGAATGTCCGCTCTGTACGTGAGTCAAATAAGTATTGAATGAGGGCAGAACGTCTGGCCACGCACGGAACGCGACCTACTGTGCGTCTCGTCGCAGCCACGGCCAGGCGCTCGCGTCATTCTTGCTTTGACATCCGAGAATAGTAGTGTATTGCATTCTCTTCAGTTGTATTAATGAATTTTTAACGCAATTATGTTCCATTATTTAGCGAGCTGATAACTTTGAATCATTCCATCTCCAGATGGCTCAGAGCGCGCGCGCCTTTCACCAAAGACGTCCGGGTTTGATTCCCGTCGATTCCCGGTCAACCTCATGTGAAAATTGTTCAAACAAAGCGAATTCGGCTGCTTCACAAGGGCTAGTCCAATCCCTGTGAAGTGTCCTAAACCCTACCCCAGTCCTAATTCCTTCCCAGTTCTGGCCGCTGGGTAGTGACGCAGGAGCGCGTAGTAGAAGGCGCGTACGCGGAGATGCTATCTGGCGGTCTTCTTGACAACTGTCAAGAGGACGAGACGTGACCAAGATAATGTTATAGGAGGACTACTCCAAGTGCACAAATTAATGTAGGATTCTTGCACATGCAAAGCGCTCAACACCCCAAGGGGCTTGGAGACGTTATGCGGCAATCCAGACGCAACACATTAAAATTAAAACAAAACAAAAAAAACCAAAAAAAAACATCCCGCATTACTGAGTTCGAATAGTTTCGGCTTCTGAGCAGTGGCTGATCCAGGAGGAGGCACAGGGACCATGCCCCCACCCAGAGTCAACAATTGTTCATTTCATTTTCAAATTGACCACCGTATTTAGATCTCATCCAAAACAAAATTCCCGTTTCGAATATTCTCGTACACTTTTTATTGGAAGCTAATAATTTAAAAAAATATATGTCAATAAAAGTTGTGAAGTCCGAATTGATATTGTCCCCTCCCCCGTGAAAAATGTCCGGATCCGCCCCTGCTACCCAGGACGACGTGTTCTGAACATCCACACTTGGTTTCGAGAACATAAAACACTCTTCTTCCCTTAGTTAGAGAAACTCCGGGTGTGGCTCTCTTTCCCTCGACGACAAAGCAAGCGATCGCGTGATCCTGTGCACGCGCTCGCAACTGGGTCCTCGCGTCTCCACACGAGCCGTCGTTCGAACGCTCTCAGCAATCGCTCCTCGCATGCGCCGCGGGCGAAGAAATTCCGGTCAACCTCCGCCAGTAAATTTCGTTACATAGCAATGGCGAACAGGTTGTCGAGCAAGGAAACTCGCTTTATTTGCTCTGACCCGGCATACTGCTATAATAATTTACTCAGTAATTAACTCAGTTAATGAGTACGCCCCGCAACGTTGTTTTCTCGGAAAGCTGTTGGAGTAGAAAACATTTAAATGTGTATCCTTCACTTCTTTGATGAGAGTAAAAGTGGCTGAACTTTAGCGTGCATTTAAGGGTATTGTGGTGTTTTCTTGATTAAGGCGACAATTGTTCATAAACTGGGCGATGCTAGAGTTCGCGGAATCTTGGGCAGCTAAAAAGCTTTGAGTTACACAGTATGCGTCCATGTAATATTTATACACTAATCCTGTGTGCTCCAAGGAAAATATTTCTAATTAATTCTATGATTAATTATCCATATGATTTTTATTCATATTGGTTCAAGGGGAAACAGTTGTATTTATAAAGTAGAAGTTACTAAAGAAATACCAAAAAGTAAAAGACAACTATGCTAACCATTACGAATTGTATCAAATTATATCAAGGGAAGTATACTGTAAACGTATTATTATATGTACAAAGATAGTTAATACATCAGCCCTTTTCAATTATGGAAATAACAGAAAAGTGTCAATTAATCGATCATAATTGTTAATACTTACCTAATTATCAAGTTTTACAAATATAACATTGTTTTCGAAAAGTGTGTGGCACGTTCCATTGAGATAAACCGACGCTATTCGTAACCGCAATTTCCAGAAACCAAATTTCGAGCAATTGGGTTATTGTTCTTTAGTTATTGCTTGTAAATAAATTTATTGTGGCTAAATATATTTGAAATAATTTAGAAACCAATGTTGCTCACGGTCAAGATGCGAAAGAATTGACTGATGACCCATAGACACGCAGTTTGCCACAAAGAATCCAACTACAGGAAAACTAAAGAATAATCCTGGTACACACGAACAACACTTCTTACTCATTATTATGAAAACAAAAAGCGCAACAAAAATTTTTTTTTTTATTTCACCAAAGTATTTGTAGGAGTTAGGCTCGCTCCAGGAACTTTTCAAAGGACTTCAATACCTTTTATCAAAATACTTCTTTGTCAAACCGGCTAACTCGTTGGAAAGTGTGTGCTAGTTTTGTTTAATTCCCAACTAATCAAAAGTCAGTCTTTGAAATGAACTACCATCCATTTGTGTGTTGTGTTTCAGCGGGCGAACGGAGAAGCAAGCGCAGCGAGACGTGCAGATGCGCTTACGCAGCCCCCCTCAGTTCGTGAGGACGCCGAGTCGCCGCTACCAGAGGAGGATCGTTGAGGGTGCACAAGATTGTGAGCACTAATTCTTGTATACATTCTTTGTAATGTTATTTTCTAAGTCGAAGTTCACCGACGTCTATAAAGGACAAACATTGAATGTCCTGCATAAGCTCGATTTTTTTAAAATTTATTTTCTGCATAATTTACAATCTGTTCCTATCGGAACAATAAGCAAATGGTGGTCAACAGATACATTTCCGACGTGAACTTTTTATATTGAAAATTTCATTACAAAATCGGTGGGATGGCAAATCTAAAATACTCTGTCTCCTCAGTCTATAGATACGCTCACTGTTATCTAGAAGGCTTGTTGGAAAGGCTGCTTTGGGTGGTTATTTAACAATCTGTCTAAGGTTGCTAGGCTCTTCGTGGCGATACTTTCCTCCAGCGGGACGGATGTCCAGGTTCTCTGTATATCGTCTTTGTTTGTCACGTTACCATGGTGGCGTTGCCTAAGTTTTCTTAGTGTTTTAGGCTTCGAATCTTTTTAGAATCTCTAGATTCGATTTACTGGAGAGCCCAACAATTGCAATCACCATAGGTCCATTGTTGGTTTTATTATTAGTTTTATAAACCTGTATTTTGTTAGCAAGATAGCTTTGATTGTCTGTTTATTAGGCCACGACAATTTGAGACTTCAAGCTCGCTTCTTTTCTTCTTAGTTTTGATGTGGGTTTTCCCACGTCAGGCGTCTATCTAAATGCAGTCCAAGATATTTTATTGTAATTAGCTATCGTTGGAGTTTTCTGTTGTTGCCTTAGTTTACTTTTGGGGCAGTTTTCTTTTCTTTAGTGAAAATGTTGATTTTTGTTTCATTAACCGTACTCGCAACCGATGGACTCCAATCTCGATTTTGTTTTAGATCTTGAAATGTTGTATGCGCAGGAGGGTCTTAGTTGCAGAAGAATAAGCTTGTGTCATCTGCAAAGGTGGCTATTGTAGTTCTTCTGTAGTGGAAGTCTGAAGTGGATTAAAGATATAAAAAAGGTCCAAGAATACTTCCTGGTGTCACTCCGCAGAAATAGGGTTGAATTTCGATAGAGGGTGCCTGATATTTCACTTGAAATAGGCGATCGCAAAGATATGATTTGAGAAGTAAATAGTAGGGAGTGCGGAGAAGTTTTTTTATTTTTAAATAGAATTCCTTCATACCATACCTGTGCTGGAATGCTTCGTTGGTATGGCTAGGATGCTGCAGAAACAATTATAGCTTTTTTACCAGGCTTTGAGAAATTGTTGTGTTTATAATTACGATGGGTCTGTTCTATTGTTGAGTGTCCTTCTCGAAAGCCGAATTGAAGTCATGATCACTTCTTTAATTATAGGCTTGAGGCGCTGTAGAGAAGTTTGTTCAAATACTTGATAGGACTTGGTAGCAGGCTAATAGTCGCACGATGTCACTTCCGTGGCAGTTCTTTCCGGTTCGCTGATCGCAATTATTTTGAGCGATTTCCATGGACAAGGATATATGGCTATTTCGAAGTATCGCGGATTGAATATGGCTGTGTTCAAGTTCTATCCTGTTACTTGGCATTTCCTGCAACATCTTGCCGGTAATAAGGGTCAAACCTGGACTCTTTGCAGGATGCGTGTGCTTTTTGTTGTGTGGTCGACTTCTGCGTGAGTTGAACATGCTTTATGGCAGAGATAACTGTAAAGACGCCCAAATATTCTAGCACTTTATTTCAATAGTACTTACATTTCCTGTCTGGTTTTGAAAAATGAAAGCAAAGTGTTTTGCTAAGCATTCGACCTTTTCTTCTGCGCTTCTTGCCACGTGCCATCTTCTTTCGAATTGGGTGAGATGTTGCTGTTGGGGTGCTTCAGTTTTCTGAGTTGCTTTCCAAAGCGAATAATTAGTTTCAGCAGTAAGTGTAAGTGCTTGAATGTAATTAGAGAATGGATTTGTTTTGTTATTCCTTATTTGACGTGTGTTAATTGTCTGGCTGCTGTGTTATATTTTTCTTTTGTATCTGGTTTCTGTGTCGTCATGAATATTTTCGTCAGAGTCGACGTGTTTCTACCACTTTTTGTCTTATATTCTGCGGGATACTTGGCGAATTTATTTATTGTTTCTTGGTGTTGCGGCGCCAGCAGCGTCTGCAATTCTGTCAGATAGGTGCGTGTTATTAGCGTCTTCGATGTTATTCATTCAGTTGTTTAGCAGTGCGTTTGCAGTGTTTTTGTTCACGTATTCGGCGGACTTGTTCCAGTTGGTCATGTATTGTTAGTTTTAAGAGGATAGTTCTTTCAGATATATTTGGTCATTACTACTTGGGTGTGGTCTGAAGGAAAGGTTCGTAGCAAGATTTTATTCTACTGTACCAAGATGCACACCTTTGCTAAGTAGAAAGTCCAGGAGTCAGGAAAGCTTATTGGACGTCAGTGCCAGTATGTAGGTTCACCATCGATATCAGTAGAAACATTAAGTCGTGTTTGTTAACTTTAAAGAAGATTTTTCTCCTCGTAGTGTGTTGAGTCGTGAGCCCCAATGCTGATTTTTTGCAATGAAGTAGCCTCCAGCTATTTAATCTTGATCCTAGTGTTATTTATAAAGTCTTCAAATTTTTTGTTCTGTTATTCTATGTTTGGGCGGGCAGTATACAGATGTATCGTCAGTAAAGCGTGACCTTCTGTCACCATTACAGATGTTGCTGTTGTATTTCTTTCATTTTATATTCGTTCAGTGTCATTAATGTTTGAATGTGTTTTGAATTATTATAGCAGTTCCTCCAGGCTCTGTACCGTCGGTGCTTGGTATTATGAGATATTCATATCCCGGTATCTTTAAGTAGATTTTTCAGTGAAGTGAGTTTCGGATATTAGCATAATATCTATATATTTTTCTTTGAGAATAGTTACGAGCGCTCTTCGATGTTGGATTTAAACCCGTTTGCGTTCCAGAGAATAATTTTAATTCTTGGTGCCATTTAATGCATCTTGGATATTAATGAGGTCAGTAGGTTGAGCAAAGCCCCAATTTGTTCAGATGGTTGTTTAAGGATGCTTTCGAACTTTTGGAAAGAGGTTTCTATTATTTTGTAGAGATCTCTTTGGTTTTGATTGTAGGGTACAGCGTATGTTGAGTTTTGAGAAGATGCTGTACAAGAGAAGGGATTGGGTTGAAAGTGGCGAACTGGGAGGGGAGGGGAATCTGAGGCGTTTGTCACTTTTTTCTTCTTGTCGATGGTGTCTGTTTCTTTTCTGTGCTTGTTACGTTTATTAACGTAATCTTGATACACTTGGCAGCCTTTACAGGTGGCTGGATGGCTTCGCGAACATAGCACGCATGTTGCCGGCTGCGTTGCATCTTTTTTACATTCGTCTGTGAAGTGTTTTTCACCGCATTTCACGCACCTTGGAGTTGCTTTACAGTATTTCTTCGTGTGACCGTACTCTTGGCAGCGATGGCATTGCACTGGAATTTTCTTTTTGTACGGTGCTTCAAATTCTATTCCTGCATTGTGTTCTGCAAGTGTGTCGATATTGTAGATTTCTGCATTGTTTGCACTTGGTTCTAAGTCTATAAAAAAAGCAATAGCGGTTTTTTGCTTACTCGATGAAGTACATTGTGCATGTTACGAACAGTGTGACCCTTGGATTTGAGTTCAGCTTTTACTTCTTCTGTGTTTGCTGACGGATGCAGGTATCGAAGCACTACACGAAATGCTCTATCTTTCTTTGGTTGATAAGTGTGGTATTTGGCCTCGGATTCGTCAAGTTGCTTAATTATTGCTCTGTAAGCTTCAATGGTTTTCGGTAGAACTTTTATATCCTCGCCGTACATTTTGTATGTAAAATCCTCGTCTTTTACTTGTAGTTTAAGAAATTCTATTAATTTCGATACATTAGTTACACTTTGCACGAATATTGACGGTATATAATGATCTATGGGGGGCTTTTTAGGAGTTTCAACTTCTGATTTGTCTTCTAATACTGCATATTGATTTTTATGCGTAAATACTGGCGCACTAACATTCGAGGGAGTTGGTATGGGCTGGTCACTGTAGGCGTGTTTTTTTCTTTTTCGAGGTTGTTGCCACTCTAGGGTACTCACGGTTTTATTTGAGGCTGTTTCAGACGACCCCGAGCCTTGTTGTTGAGTCCATTGCTGTGGTTGTGTTCCATTAAGTTCCCAGGGCTCGCCCTGGTGATGTGCTGTATAGAAGCCTGTTTGATCTCTCATAAGTAGTTGTTGTTGATTTATCTGTATCAATTGTGAATCCTGATTCATTAAATATTGATGTTGCTCTAAATTTTGCTGCGCATTGTGTTGTATTTGTAAGTTAATTATATCACTGTTTTGCCCCACGGGGCCACTTGTACCTTGACCATTCATTGGTGTTGATATCAATAATATCACTGAATTCACTGTGATGATTTAATGCTTCCACTGCTCTAGCGATGTGTTGCCCCGTATCAGGGGAGCCACTTGAAAACATTGTCCCTACACACTGTACACTGAAGTAGAGTTGTACTCTGCTAAACTTATGTCACTGAACCGCCCGTGAAGGAGAGCGCTCGGCGCACGTCCGCTCGCTGCCGTGTTCAGGCGAGAACTGCGATTCTTTAAAAATTACTCCCTTCGGAATTTCATTATCGTCGATAAATCAACACTCACAAAATTGTAATCCCAATCGTCAGTATATTTAAGGATAATTTATGATCGTTAGTACCTTTCTCCTGCTTAAACCGATTATAACAGCTTAACGTGATCGTTTTCAAGAAGGATTCTTTTAACATAATTCTTGACCAAGGGGACCCGTGGCCTGTGAACTCTGAACAAAGCAAGGCTCTCTGCGGCGCCCTTGACAAATCAACAGACAAGGACCACGACCTTCGAGACCGCATCGCAAGGCTTCTAAAGGCGGCATTCGCCTTTATGTTAGCAGTGTTGCGAGCGACAGCCGCCGAATCCCGAGCCACAGATGCGCTCGGCCAGTGTGCGCTTCCTTTGATGTCTGCAGAAGACCGACACGCGGTGGATTGGGCGATCACCGAATGTTCGTCGCTCGGCAAATAGCAAGCGACCCATCCACACTGCGCGAGATTCGGCGAGCGGACCCTCGCTACTCGCCGAATACGGAATGTGTGGCTCCACCTAAATGCAAGGGTTCACCGCTTTTTGTTCGTTCTGCGCCGCACCAGTTGGAGTCACGTACCGCGTGAGCACAACAGGCATTTCGTTTGAAAAGCCAGACTAGACGCTCTCCGCTATTTTGCAAGGAGAGGGAGAAGGGTTGATAAACACTTTGAAAGTGGCATAAAGTGACAATTTTCAATGGTGACCAACCACAAATATCACGATGAAGGTGTACAAGATGCGATATTTACAAGAAATATATTGTTCAATGACAAGTAGCAAGGTGATAGTTTTGATAGCTGGCTGAATTTAAATTTCCCGCTATTATTCTGTCGCAAACTGATGAGTGAAACTCATTGTTTGAAGTCGGATACGATGCGCAATAGCACATCTATGGCTTTCCACTGTGGTCGGTGTCGATCCCCTGGGGATCGATGAAATTTTAAAAGGAGTTGATGATTATCAAGAGGTCGACAGGGGTCAATAGCCGAATATGACCGGGCAACTGGTCGGTATAACACAGATTATTAAGTGTATTAATGAAGTTAATATTTAACTGTTTTATTACATAAAGCTTCAATTTATAAAATTATAAAGTAAAAATTTGCTCTTTTTTAAATTTCACATCATTCCTATTAATGATAATTGACCTGAAAAAAAAATTTTTTGAACCTCACGGTAACTAATTTTTAAATGATTTCAATGATAATCAAAGAGTGTGTGTGAACAGAAAAAATCTATTTGATGTAAACAAATTGAATCCAAATTATATTATTTTTATGATGTAACATTTGTAGCTGTGTGGGCAATTTTCTGCAAGACTGGCCTCTCATTAAGTTTCGTGCGCTCTGCGCAATCCTCCTCGGCGGCTGAAGTGTTGAAACTTACACTTATCTCTATTTAAATTCACTTGTTTAAACGTTAAATATAATATTGATAGGAACACACAACTATTATGCACAAAATTTTTTAGACACACTACTCACAATTTATGAAAACAATTAGTTAAAACAGTTTTGATTGGAAAACATAACCCACCTAACTGTTTGGAATGTAATTCCAAACTTCCAACAGATTTTTAGATAAAAACACTCAAGCGTGTTTTCAATGACCGAAAAACATATCCCTTAATGTTTTATTGTATCAGGTCAGATATTTTTACACATAAGCTTAGGTGATCTCTTAACTTTGGTAAGCACTTAGGTTAGTGTGAAAGAAAAACCTCATTATTTTGTGAATTTCGCATTCTCTGAAGTGACCACATCCCTTTCATGAATAGTATCAGCTGAACACCAATATACATCGGTAGCATGCCGAAAACGCTCTAAAGAGACGAGATTCCACTTCCTAGGGTATTTCTTGTAAGTAAGCTAAGCATCCTCATTGTTCCCTTTAAATTGAGTCGATCCAATGAACAAACTAATCATTCTCTTGACTAGATTATCATGAAAGAGTCAGATTAGCAGCTTTGACATCTGACTGTTACTACTTTGAATTACATCGATATTAAGTATTAAGTGAATCAATTAATGGTAAACGCGATCGCCAAGGCTCTGTTTATTGTTTCTTAGTAAAAGACACTAGGTGAAAACTTATGAACACAAAGTTGACGGCTATTTTGTATACACATGCTGGAAGATTGATACACGGCCAAAAGAAGTCACGAGCTTTGAACTTTTTGTTAACTGATTCTGATAACTTATTGATTACGTTGGGTAATCTTTTAAAAATATTCTCTTTGTTATATCCTTATAGGTTGTATTTGTATTTTATATTTCAGCTCCGAAAGTTGAGGAACACGAGATCCCTCTTCCAGAATCGAAACCTGCAGCAGCTCAACAGTCTTCTCATTAGTAAGTTATTTCGATTTTGTATATAAGCCCGTAAAGACACTGATTTGTTAATTAAAAAGTACAGAAATATATAATTAATTGTAGTAAATAATTTTATTCAAATATTTCATACGATATTCACGTTCTGAAAACAGATTTTGGTATACATAGAAGCTGACTGATTACCATCCAAACCTTATTCTCCCACCTTTATCTATCTCCTCGGTTTATTTCGTGATATCTCATCTCCTCCACGGTGTTTTTCTCGTTATTTCCTAGCCACACATCTTTCCACTACAAAACCATATTTTCTGTGACATTTGTGATCTGTCCGTCTATATCCCTCTTTATTTCTTACCACAATGAGCGGCGTAAAAAGCCATAGCTACCTGCCTTTCCGAATATTATTCCATCATGTCCACCATCGCAATTCTCATCTCTGCGCTAGTGACCCTCTGTCTTTCAGACCTTTTATTGCGCTGCCCTTTCCTCATTCTTCACAAGAACTAGGATCTCGCTAGCTCTCGGAAATATATTTCGACTATGAAGTAGGATGTTTCCATTTTCTGATCAGTATTCAAGTTTCATGTAGGACAATAGGATCAATTCTAGTACGTTTCTAAGACAATGGTCTTGTTTTTTTCGTTATTAGTAGCTAAAAGTGAACTTTGTTTAAGAGCCATTAGGAGGCTCAGGAGGTCAGTGCGAGTCCGCAAGTTCTTTTTTTTTTACATTAACGCTTCACAAATTGTAAAATATCTTATGAAATTTACAAATATTAAATAAAATTAATGAATATTAAATTTCAAAAATATATTCAATAATAAATTGCATTATTTTCATTGAAATCTTCCTAGGTTGAAAGGGATCGTATTCTGCAGACTCACGAGGCTCGATCCATTTCATTGAGTGACAGCATTGGTACTCCAACAAGCTCCATCATTTCAGCCTTTCCTCTGCTTACAGACCCAACACGACAAACCACAAATTATTCTATTACAGGTGATTTGTCAGATTGCCAACAAAAAAGATCTTGGGACAAAAACTCTGTAATTTAACGACCGGTCTGAGGATAATTGAACCACAGACTTTTGCGTCGTTCCTTTACTGCTCTAGAGTTAATCGAGGGTTTTCCTTTTGCAGCGGGGCGGCGGCGGCGCGGCGGCGGCGGCGGCGGCGGGCGGCGGCGGCGCGGCGCGGGCGGGCGTGAACATGTACCGCTCAACAGCAGCATCCGCCACGTTGCCAGGGCCATCGTCGCGCCGCACGGGGCAACGCCGCACTCCCACGCCCACGCGTCCGCGCACGCGCACGCCCGCTCCTCCCCGTGCAGCACGCACAGCGCGCCCTGGGCCCAGCCGCACGCGCAGGGCCTGTACGCCGGCTCCAGTCCGCGCTCCGTGCGCTCAGCCGGCCAAGGCCCCGGCCACGGCCACGCCCACGGCCCGCTGCTCAACCGACTCACTCGCCGCTCCTCCAGCGTCGAGAGCCAGAGCTCCAACGACTCTCGCTGCTGCAAGAGGTGCGCCCCATGCCCGAGCACCGACCCCGACTCCCAACACAAACCTCAACCCTCGATCCAATACCTCTTCTTCTAAGACCCAGGCTCCTCTTATCGCAGATTCGTCGATTCGTCCACCCTGGAGTCGTCTCTGAACGAAATTGCTCATTTGCAACATAGCTAACGTATCCTTTCTGAGTTGCATGTTTCATAGATTGCTCAATCCACGTGAATTTCGAGTCAATAAAGCGTATTCGCGGCAGTTTTTTAGGTTCTTTTGCTTTCCTCCCATTCGTCAATTTCCGTTATCATTATTTATGTCTCAAATATTACGTCCTCCTTTGTGTACGCGAGCGCTCGAATACACTGAAGAAGCGCATCTCCTCCTCTCTGGCAGGTGCTTATGCTGTTTATGTTAGGAGTACAAAGGCAACTTGCTCTATTTCTAAAAAGAGTCAACTCACTAATTCAACCTTGTAGTTCCGAAGTTTGTGAACTACAGCATTATTTCTTGTTAGATCAACGTTAATATTGTATCTTTTTCTAATATCCATGGTGTTTCAAATACACTCCTATTCAGTTTGAAACAAGTATGATAAATTCCATGTATCAAAATTGTTCAATACATCGTGTTAATATTCGCGTCTGTGCAGTTTTCGCTACACTGCACGACCAATTGTCACAAAATAAATGTTTGATAATCTTAAAAACCACACCATTGAGATGCGATGAAGTCGTAATTGATCTCGCGAACTGTTAGTGTAAACGTTTCCTGAACTTCTTCCTAGCGGAAAAGTCTGTCCCACAACTAGTCTCCGCTAGGCTTCCCGCCGAGCACGGGTGCATGCCGCGAGAGCACGGCGCCGCACGTCGAGGCTCCACACGGTGCAGATTAGGGATGCGACATCGATGGTGATGTTTCTATAAAATTATCGATGTATTTAACATCGATATTTTGAACCCAATTTTTTTTACATCTTCTTTTTTTTACATCGTCTTGTGTGTCCGGTGTTTTTACGTGGTAGATAATCTTATGCCCTCATAATAAAAGTCAATAATAATTTAAGAATTAATTAATTGAATATTCTTCAGACCAAAGTGACCAAAGGCAAAAAATAAGTAAAATCGATTTTTCGTTAATAAAGATGCGTGTAGAATTTTTGAATTATCGAATCAGATTATCAGAGTTTTGTTAATTATTCTGATGATTTTTTGATTTTGCATTGTCTGACAAATCTCTGTTAAAAATTAATAGACAGGACCACATTGAAATCAAATTACCCCCGCACGTGAATTGATGTTTTGTTAACAACCATTTTTTTAGTTCTGAGCATCGATGTTTAAAGACATCGATGCTAAGTTGTCAACTCCCTAGTGCAGATACACACCGAACATTCACCCACTTCTGTCGTTTTTCTGTCCTTTTCACCGTTTTTGTGTCTCCAATCCACAGAAATTAAACTCGGCGTTTAATTGTGTATATTAGTTGGTAAACTTCAGTTCACATTCTCGTGAGCGTAGGAGACTGTATCGAATCATGAGTGTGTAAGTGAGTATTTATTGTTTCTGGGCGACTCAACTACCGGGGCCATTAGTCTAGTAAGTGAGGTGCAGTTGTATCGTTGGTGGTGGCGGTGAACCAGACAAATGTATCATAGCGTCGCTATTATTTAGGCCTTAAACTCTGATCATATTGCATGGTCTCAGTGTTCATTCACAGCCCGAACCGTGAGACAAAAAGTGTGGGCCGTAAAGTAGTACTGGGCAAAAGCGATTTCCATTAGGTGTTCATTTCGCTCAACAGGCGCAGTTTACAGATCCATGGAAACCAAATATACAAACATCTCGAATGTTTACTGATTAGTAGCCTCTAACCCTGGGTTGCATAAACCTATTTAAAGATTCGTTAAACGCTATTGGTTCTGTATTTTCTTATGTGTTGTCTTATTGAAAGAAAGAGAACCTTCTGATGATTTAAAGTTTCGTTAAAGCACTTTGTATTTTATAGATAGAACATCAATCCTCGTAAACTATTAACCATTCGTTAACCTACCCTCTGCTATATACTGCCTACACGAAAAAGTTATTTTGCTATATTAATGTCCATGCTGTGCGTGCAGTAGATATCTTTCCCAACTTCTCCACCATGCACGAGGTGTTTTCTTCATGAGCATTAAAGCTCTGTCAAACTCTTTCCCAGCACACCTTTTTTATTTAATTCCTGGGTGTATTTCGCGAAAAGAAATAATTAATGACAATAAAATACACTTAGTGTTGTTCAATAATAACTCTTTTTTGAATTTTTTAGGCACCATCATCACCATCGTAGTCGAAGAAGTTCAGACAATGAGAGCGAAATGTCGAAGTGCTCTGGAAAATCTCACCATGGCACGAGAAGGCACCGCCATCGATCTCATGGTGGAAAACGAGATTCTTCCAGCGATCATGAACGACATCATCGGCACCATCACAAAAGCTCACAGCATAAACATCACCACAGGCAAGATAAAACTGATTTTAAAAGTGCAATTCGTAAGGATTTGCATGACCAGTTCCTTTCCGAATAAAGAGACTTTCACGAATGAGAAAGAAGCTATGTGATGTCGTAAAAATTTAAGCAGTTACATCCAGTACTTTCAAATTACATGCCTAGGTAGAAGAGCGGGTCTGCTAATCACATATAATGACAGCAATTTCGAGGCAATAGGGTGAATTTATTTTTCTCGAAAACATGCACGTCAGTCTTATCCAAGCTCCAAAATTTTGTTCATGATTGTTGTTATATATAAATGATATTGACATTAATTATATGGCGATTCTTAATGAGAGAACAACGATATATATGAAAAAAATAAGATTATTACAAGAATTGATATTTCCCTCTGAAAAAACTTTACCAAGCTATGAGATTAAGAGAAACTGCCTAACATCAATATTCTGTTACCACTGAGTTTTTATGCCAAACCTAATATTCATTTTGTAAAAACTAAATTACTACTCTCTAATAAAATCAATGTAAACAAAGTGTATCTCAATAATTTTCAAATCATTTGTGATTTATCTATGTTAACTTCTGTAAAGTAGCCCATTCTGTAATTTTGGTTTATGAACAGCCTATACAATGTACCACCTGGATAAAACTTAAAAAAGTTAATTTCGTCATTCACACACACATGCGTGTGTGTGTGTGTGAAAGTGTAAGAGTGATGACAGACTGACTGATTGAATGAATGAATGCATGAATGAAGGGTCTGAATTGAGAAGGGCCCACCTCCAAAAATGTTTAAACCAGTTGGTTTACTTTCACTTCCTGATCATAACTAATATACACATATCAATCATAATAGATGTATAATAATTCATGTCTTTATGTATGAAGTTAATTTTCTATTTCATTCCTAACAACAAATAATTGGAAAAAGAAATTGCAAATGATCTCAACATTTATTTATATACTGAGCTTTCATTCCTTGAATTTCATCACTGTTCACTCATCTAATTGTATTGCTCATGTTGACGCT